TTTTATAATCGAATCCTTAAAACATTAATAAACATATATTCACGGAAAGAGAACCAAACCTTTGCTAGAATCGTCATAACCGATCTTCTTAACGCAGTTTCTCACCAAAGTCTGGTAGTCAATGTTAGCCTTAGAGGTAATTTCTCCACAGAGCATGATCATTCCAGTTTTGGTGACGGTTTCTGTAAGCATGAATTTAACAGAAATCCAAAAAGCTCTCTGAGTATAATTTTCAAAAAAAACTACGTTCAATTCGACTTATAAAAAATTAGTGTGAGAGGGTGATGAAAACTACTTACCACAGGCAACCTTAGCATGAGGATCCTGGGCCAAGTGAGCATCCAAGACGGCGTCGGAAATCTGAAAACACGTAAATCATAGTTGAAATTTCAAAAAATTTACCTGATCGCACATCTTATCTGGATGTCCCTCTGAGACGGACTCAGAGGTGAAGAGGAAGGAGCTTTGAGCCATTGCCGACCTGGAATTTACGAGAATTTTTAACTGAATGAAAATTTCACTATATAAATTGCTCGAGGAAGGCGTGGCTTAAGACCGGATGAACGAAAAGAACAAAAGAAATTCGGTTAGCAGGTTTATAGGATAAAGGTTAAGGAATCCCTGAATTGCTTAATTGGAAGGAACTCCTAGGGACACGCGGAGATATTATTGAATGCCTCCATAAGTGGAATGAGAATAGATTGTTCAAACGATAAACATGACGAATTAGAGAAAGCCCGAAACAAGCAGATCAACGGGCAGTCTATTCTTCGACATGTTCAATTAGAATGAAGATGCTATTATGGAAACCGAGAACAACACAGGGAAGGAATTACAGGAACGAGAATGTCAGGAGGAGTGCGGAAGAGACAATCTGGCAGGGCGACTGGACCAAAATGCTGCAGTTGCATGTGATAGGAGGTGAACCCGAAGAACTGAGACATAGACTGAGCGAAAAAGAAACGTGAGTGAGAAGGTCACACTTCCTATCGCTCTCGCTCAGTATCTCTAGCTGTAAGAAGAACAGTCTCTTCTTTGCCAGTAATACCTTACAAGTGAAGAGACAGGCTGCTGAAGACCGACTACGACTCTCTAGCAAGACATCATTGGTAGTAAATGTGATAGATGAAGAAAAAGAGATAGTGAACATTAGACCTGCCACAATGGCGCCACTAAGTGGTGCCATAATCATGATTAAAAAGCAAATAAATGATACTCGAAAACGAATCGGTATAGATTAAAGCAAAATTAGGAGCAAGTGCAAACGTCAAAATGATAACAGTAGCATTTTAACGCCTTATATAGGACTGTGGGAGGTGTTAAACATGATTAGGATACCACGGCTTAAAAGGTTATCCGATCCATTTGTACTATTTGATAATGATATCTATTTCTTGCCGAAACATTTAATAGTCTTAGAAATTTTGATAAAGAATTACCTGTACTTTTATGTTTCAAATTACGGCTATAAAAGTTTTTTCCGTCATCATTTCTATTTTTATGGAACTTTCGAGAAAAAAAAGATTGAGAGATATCACTTTTGCACTGTATTTGATACAGGAGTCGATAATAAACGAGCAAGATGTTTTTTAAACAAGTATTAGATAGGAACCTCGTCCAGATTATCTTCGCCCTGGACCTGCAGAGAAACGCATGAATCGAATGT